TAGTGCTTTCTTTCACGTCCACAATGCGGTCTATAAAAAGAATTTGAAAGAACTAAAATCTAATTAATATTGTAAATATTGAAACAAAAGTATTAGATTTTGTTTTTTTGTTGTTTTGTTTTTTTTGCGGGATGGGAATTTTGTTAATAAAATGAAGGAAATTACTGGATAAGTGGGTAAGAGAGAAACTTGAATGAAAATCGTAAAAGGGGAGAGGGGGCCTTGACAGTTAACAGACGAACGAATTAAAATATCAATTTCAAGATGAAAGAAAGATTAAAATAAGCCTAAATGTTCCTTTTGACCAACTTAAAAACGAAAAATGGTGAACAAAAAGCTTCAAGCACGAAAACACGAAAAGTAAAAATTGCAACACCGTTGCACAAAAACTACCATGTTCCATCGGTTTGAGAGATTAACAATGGACACTACAGTTCATAAACTTTAAAACTTCAGATATTTTTGCTTGCATTTATTTTTGTGTCTTTTAAGAATGAACAAAATGTTGCGACTATTTCAGTAAAAACTGTAAACATATATTGCTATCATTTTTGCAATATCCATTCCTTTGTGTAGCAGACTCTGTTTAGCCTTTCAGGGCACCTGAGATCATCCCTAGTTTTTTGGTTTGGTTCGTGTTGTTCAGTCTTTAGTTTTCTGTGTTGTGTTTTGTGTACTGTTGTTTGTCTGTTTCTTTTTTAGCCATGGCGTTTTCTGTTTATTTTCGATTTTTAAGTTTGATTGTTCATTTGATTATTTGAATTTTCCGATCTTTTTATGTCACCCAGTACCCGTAAGCGATAATATGCCATTGATCTATACAGTTTAAGTGTTGCAAACGTAATTTAACTAGAGGCTCTAGAGAGCCTGTGTCGCTCACCTTGGTCTATGTGCATTTTCATCAAAGGACACTCTCCAACATTGTAGACAGGAATAGAATTCATGACAAAAATCTGTTCTGTTGATTTTGTTTTGCTGATAGTTTAGCCTTTTTAGTTTCTCTTTATCTTCTTTAGTTTTTGCTCAAAACACAAAAGAGGATAAAACAAATCCTCATATAAGGGCAATCACTCCTATAAAGAGTGACAGTCTACTAAACTATATCGGCAAAATTTGACTTGTTACTAGATATTGACTTGCTGTTTATTTATGTGATTTAAAGTGTATATTTATCTATTATAATTTTCTATCATATATGGCAACATACAAAAAAAGGTAAAAATAGTTTTTAAAGGGCAATACCATTTCCTCCATATTGTCTTCATTGTAGATTTTGTTTTGCTGATCATTTTTGCCTAGCTAAGTTTCTATATGTCTATTATAATTTTAAGATAAAAGGCTAAAACGCAAAAAATTGGTCAAAATCATCATCAATGGGCAATAACTCTAATAAGGAGTCGATTGACGATTTCGACCATCTTGACCTTTTTATTGAACTTGTCTGGCTGATCATTTTAAAGTTTCTCTGTATTTATTATAGTTTTCAAGATAGTAGGCAAAAATGAAACAAATTGGTAAAATTTGTCATTTAGGGCAATAATTCCTATAAGAAGTCATATGACAGTTTTGACATGTACGGACAATTGGTAGAGCTCAACATTTTGAACAGTTTTGCTCTTGTCAGATTTTCTCTCTTTATAATGGTTTCCAAATAATAGACAAAACTTGCATTTTACTCCATATGTTCTATTTTTAGCCATGTTGTTAACATTCTTAAAGCTTTAAGCAAGGAAAGTTTCGGCCTTTTACTAATGATGTTATAAACGGTCCTGTGTTAAGATGATACTAAAAAGAGATATTTAGGTACTTAAAAAACAATAAGTAAAAAAAAACAATAAGAAAATGGATAGAAAATGCATGATAAGACTAACGGCAGTCAAGACATCACTACACAAAAATCTAACAATTGAGGAGCACCAACTCAACTCTCATCTGAGGGTGACTGAATGTGCTGGAGAAGGGTCAGCAGTTCCAGTTCAACAGGTTCAACCAGTGACACCTGCCTTGGTGCTCCTGATCAACTAGATTGGTGAGTCATATCCAGTAATTTGGTATATATCATATTATGATGGATTTATAAATGTCTCTTTTCTAAACCTTATAATCACAAAATTTAAAACATGTAACCTTTGGTCTTAAACGTGACCGAATGTGAACGTTTGAAGTTAGATAAGGTTTCCAATAAAGGCAACAGTAGTATAACTGTGTTCAAAATTCATTAATCGATTGAGAGAAAACAAATACGGGTTACAAACTAAAACCGAGGAAAACACATCATTTATAAGAGGAAAACAAAGGAACAACAGGAACACTGAAGTGCAACAAAAGCAAACACCAACATACATATAAACGAACTATTTGATAACAACTGCCATATTCCTGACTTGGTACAGGACATTTTAAGAAAAACAATGATGAGTTGAACCTGGTTTTATGGCTAGCCAAACCTCCCTCTTATATAACAATGTTAAAAAATATCGCTAAAATGACAACACTACGTGACAGAAATACAGCACAAACACACGCAAGAACACTCATCACAGAGAAACGCACAAACAAATAATATAATAGTCGACACAACATGCAAATTGCAGAACAAGGCTTGTACGATGGATAAACAAGACTTTTACAGGTGTCACAGAAGGGTGCGTAGTTTCTGGACAACTGACACCTCTTGTGTTGTTACTCATTGCAAGTAGATATTCGATGATCAATTTGATGTTACCACAATCAACGAAAAAGAAAGGATTGCGACAAGGAAACGTGGAAAATATTCATTATCATTTATGACTCATATGGTGCTAAACGTTCAAACAAATCCTAATGGCGTCCTGAAAACATTCGAATGTTTCCATTTTGATTACTTTGATTAAATTGTCTTTCAAGCAATCTCAATAATATTGTATGAATTGCAAAATGCAATTCAATAGAAGTTATTTCAGCAAAGCCTTGTCTTAATCTTATTTATTTTTACTTTTTGGTGGCTATTATGAAAAAAATGAAAAGTCTTATATAATGTCGTGACTTACTAAAAACGTTAGATAACATTTGATGTTTTCAAATGATTCGATTTGAATATTATTTGCTTGAAATTATATATGGTTGTGAAATATGGACTTTTGAGCAGACATCTTGAAAAAAGTGGCCATATTATATTTTCCAGAGTGGATCCATATCTTGAATTTTCATCCAAATATATATCTACAATTGTGCAACGTTTTGTGCTTTTATCATTAAACCCACAATTCTTCTAAAAGTATGCACGAATCAGCTGGACTCTATACTTCTTTGGGAGATATGTTGTTATTTTCTGAACTTACGTTATTACAGTTTCATCAAGGTACCTTTTGCCTATATACTTATTGAGATTGAATTGGGACAGTGGTGCTAAATGCTAAAGAAAACTAACTCGTTAAATTTCTCCGCATGTTCATGTGTCTGTAAACGATTTTAAATATGTGTGTCCTTTATGAAATTGGTATTAATTTTGATGGTACATTGTAGTAGATACTATACTGTCAGCTAAATCGATTTAGTTTATTAGACAACGGACACTTTGCTGGACATTTTGTGAACGACATTGTTCTATTGATGATCATAAATTAGTATCTATAATTATATTAATCCTTTGATTTGTTACGTATTGTTTCGTGTTGTTACTTTCGTTTCGTTTTTATATAGCAATAATATATACCCGCATTTCATTATTCTTTCCCAGATGAAACCTAGAGGATTATAATTCAAATCCAGTTTCTCCCACTACGTAACACGACCCAATCCCAATGGGAAGGGGCGTAAATGATTTCACTCGAGCTAAAAGAGTGTCCCACTGTTAGCAAGAAAAAGACCCCTGCGAAAGTATCGTTATGAGCAAATTTGTTTCCCTTCCAAATTCTATATATATTTCTATTGGCGGTAAAAGTAATTACCGTGATTACGCCTTGATCATTGTTTATGGCCCAACCATCCATTTCTCGGTCATTTTCATTTCATATTTATAACATACCATCTAATGATTTCATGGACATTTTCTATTTTGAGTTGAATGGCGTGATAAGCCAACAATTAATCGGCATCTATCATTGTATCTATATACATGTATTCATAAACGTTTAGACATTGTTTGTATTTTTAATTTTTAACAAGTACACCAAATACGTAAATACGTAATCTCTTTTTAATCTTGAGTTAAAGTTTTCTTCAGTTTAAAATCAATCTATTTACGAAACACTAATTTGACAAGTGAAATTAATCCTCCCATTATATCAGACAATAATCCGTCTTTTTCGTTTTCAACAATATTTCTTTGGTTTGTTCTTAACGCATTTTCTGTCATTTTTTGTTTGAATTCATCTTCAGTTTTCTTCAATTGCTCTTGCAAATCTTTCTCTTTGTTCTCCTGCTCCCGCTTCAGTTTTTCACTTACTTCTTGAAGCTGTTTCTGTAGATTTACTTTGTTTTCCTCTGTTTCTTTTTTATTGGAGTTTAAGGCATCTTCCAATCTAATTTTCTCTTTCGTTTCCTGTTCAAGTTTTTTCTTGTATTTATCTTCTACTTCATTTCTTACCGTTTTTTTTTCTTTTTCCTTTTGCTCTTCTAATGCTTCCTTTTCAATAAGCATCCTTCTCTGTAGGCCATATTCTGCTTCTTTGTATAGTTCATTTGTATAACAGGATCCCCCATTTTCACTGCACATCGCCTCTATCATTTCAAAAAAGTCATCAACTTGCTCCGTTTTCGAATGTCGAAAAGGATCATTGTAAAACGCAATGAATCTATTTCCGCACTGACTCAGTATAGTTTTTAGTTTATTCGGAACAGTTTCAACGAATTGATCAATCGATTGATTATGTTTGATAAGTTTATCCTTCATAGTGAAAAGAACAATCATATGGCGAAACACACCTTCACCAAAATGATTAATAAAATGTTTGACTGTATCTTCCTCTTCCTGCGTAAATCGACCGACACTTACAACAAAGACCATTGCATGAGGTCCCGGTGACGTCATAGCGATACATTTGACTATCTCCTTATTAACAGTTTCATTCGTCGTTGTCGTATCGAATAAACCCGGGGTATCAACTATAACTACGTTTTTTCCTTTCCGTTCAGATTCTCCGCGTTTACAATTTCCAGTTACTGAAGGACCGGAATTTTTGGATAGAAAATAATTCCGACCTAAAAGACTATTTCCTGTTGCACTTTTCCCAGCTCCTGTTCGACCAAGAAGTACTATTCGAATTTCTTTATCTTCTGCACTGGCTTGTAAGTCTACAAAAGAATGAAACGTAAGTTATGATTTGTTTTATCACACTGTATTACACGCTTATAATCTTTAAAAGTTAGATATCCTATTTTAGGAAAGGCTTCGGTTTTGTTTCTTTTGGAAAATCTTGAACTAATATGAGCCAGGTGTTACCGTCCGAAAGAGTCCGTATACATAGCTAATTTACACTGATTTTTGCAGAAATGAAACTACAGTTATATTATTTTGATAATTGTTTATTCGTATTACTAAAGCCATCATTTTTTTTTACATTTCACAACGTACATGAAGTATGAAATTACAAACAATCAGTATTATCATGATGAATAAACTTCTTTTTGGCTCTCTGCACATATTTCAGTATTGAGAACATGTGTTGGAATTTAATCTTTTATAATGTGAAGTCAAAAGCCAAAAATATTAAGACATTTTTTTTCTATCAAAATCTGATGACTCTTTAGTGTATATATGACAACTATTAAGTGTTCATGATCAATAGAGACTAGGTAAACTTAAATTGTACATTCCTCGAATATGTGTTGGATTTAGATCTTCAACATTTTTTTTCATTACTTCTTCCGTTAGTTTTTCTGAAAAAAAAATAAGTTACTCCAATTGCAATACATTAAACAAAACATTTATTATGCATTTCATTAGTCTGTTTTTAGTTCTAACTACGCACATGTTTTGAATAAGATTATCTTTGATGTTTTAATATGAAGTTCTATCAATGTGTCCTATTGTTTTCTCTGTTTCTGTGGGGTTTTTTTTCTTATGTTTTTGTTTGATTTGTTCCCCTTTTGTTTTGAACCACTAATATATGAATAAAAGTAACTAGCTGTTAATATACGCTGCTAAAATTTTTCCACCTTCTGTAGAATAAATTAAAACAAATCGAAGTATAAAAATAATGTCAGCTTTTGTTTACTATCAGCTAATCCAATTTTATTGGTTTGACACTATCTAGTAATTCACAGTTTGCATGTTAAACAACAAAAAAATATTCCAGGTTATTCAATCAATCCTGACGTACATATGTATTAAGTTGTTCTTAACAGTCCTAGTGATTGGATAATCCGTATACAAAATTCAGACACTATGTGGACCTTTTGTTTGTAGTGTTTAGGTAAATATGTTGCAAGTTTGCTGTCTGCTCATGTTTACCCAAATTATCATCTATTACCAAAAAGCAATTTCTCTATAGCCGTTTAAAATCAGAGCATGTGATCTTAAGAAATATGTTTAATATTTTCTGAAAATGTATTTTGTATTACTTAAACATTGGAAATACTAACATATTTTTTCATCTTGTTCCTCAGTTTTCTGAAAGAAAATATTGAATAAGAACATTTTACTTGAAGCTTTAATTCATATTTAACTATATCAAAAAAGAAAGTGAACTCTGGCGCTTTATAATAGTAATTTCTTTTTTTGTCTCTACCGCCTTGTAAATACATGCTTATTATTGGAAATAAAGTCGTCATGTCATAGAGGATTTTATAATAAAAAAAAAAAACATTCCAATAATGAAACGATATAAAATATGCAGGGAGATATCATTTAAGTATCATTCTTTAAAATTTGATTATATTATGTCGAGCGGTTTAGAAGAAAATAAGAATGAAATTAATGACAACATGATGTACTAAAAGACAGACCACATGTGTGTACTACATTTTTCATTCAATGCCACTTTGATCTGCCGATTATGGCAATAGCCAATTCCCTTTTTTATACACAAGTAAGTTATACGTGTGTTATAGTCCTTGTATACAGAAAGTAAACGGATTGACGTGTCCAGAACATATATAACTGAAACTGTTTGAAGTGTATTGGTTATGCCATGGTCACATATATTTTTTTCTTCAACTTTTACATACACTTTCTAAATTTCGTATCCTTTCCCATGTTTCCTGTAAATCGTTTTCTAAATATTTTAATTCTGTCTGCACTTTGATGTTCTGATTGTAATTTTCAGTCGAACAACTCTGTACATATTCACTGAGAACACGTGTCTGTCGGCGTATTTCACACACTTCCTCTAAGCCAAGCGGTGTTCCACTCAGAAATATCAAACCTGACAAAAAAGAAAGGCTGTAGAATAACTGTTGCGGTAACATACTGATAACTTAAGAGGTTTGTTATGTGTTGAAGCACGGCATGTTTTGTGTTGCAACTTTCTGTGATTTTGTCATTGAAATTTATGTTGTGTTCTCAGAGATATGTGTTGTACATGATATTTTGGGCTGTTTGGTATTCATTTTGTGTTATCTGTAATGACAGTCATGGCAAATTTTTTTGTCGCATCTGTACTTTTGGTCACTATCAATATATTTTGTGTCATCTGGAATTTAGGTCAAGATAATAGAGTGTGTCTTCCGGAATTTTGGTCACTACAATATATTTTGTGACATCTGAAATTTGGTGGCTAAGTTGTATTTGATGTGATCTGTAATTTTGGTGAATGCAATAGATTTTGTGGCAGCTGTGTTTAAAACAGTACAATAGATTATGTGTCATTTGTGACTTAAGTCATTTCAATATAGTTTGTGTCATTTTTAATTATGCTAGCTACAACATTGTTTGTGTCATCTGTGATCTTGCTCACTAAAATACTTATGTGTCTGAAATTGATATAATTAGATTGCAATGTGTATTTGATTTTGTTGAGAAAACTTAATGGTTTGCCGATTCTTTTTTTGGGTCACAGCAATATGTATGACTGTTGTCTATGTTTGGGTCACAACCATATATTTTATGCCATCCACATATATTTTGTCATGTGTTTGTTTGGTCACATAATTATGTTTTACGTTGTCTGTGATTTGGGTCCAAACAATACATTATGTATCGTTAATATCTTATATTATGACTGCTATTTTGATCAAAATATAGTTCTTTAACAATAATGGTTGCATTTGAAGCGCATAACTGGATTTATCTTCGTCAAGAACGCTTAAACCAAAACACTGTTAACCGGGACTGCTCTAATCCGCTATATGACCGAAGAAGACGTAAACAGAATTAGCAAATCAATTTGAGGTCAATTTGCCCCAGGGAATTGGATTCGTGGTTTCTAGATAATTTCTTAATTTATGAATGAGGAACTTTCTATCAGAATATGTTGTAAAGCATGTCAGTATCAAAGCACTAATCAACACAGAGCTTCTGTCCCATTTCATAAAAGTATATACGTTTTGACAATAGTTATAATGACTGAAAGTTTAACCTTATACTGGATCTTAATGTTTAATGCAAGCAAATTAGGTCAATATATCAGTGAAATACGAACAAAAATAAAATAAGTGACACCACTAACGCCAACGACGAAATTTAGTATGGCTATTTTTCGCTTTCGCGACAAAATGTTGTAGGCTGCGACAAAAAGTTCATTGAACATACAATACATTTGTGTCATTGTGTACCATTTGTTGCCCATGTGTTGAGTTGACTCAATATTCTCTTTTCTTCTTCGTTACTCAAATCAAGGTCCTTAACAAGTTGGCTCATTAACTTGAATGAATCTGTATATTTTCTTCTAGTCCATTCTCTAAAGTCACAATGTGCCCAGGGATTACGTATGTCTACTCGCATCTGAACAATTGAAAACATGTGAAATAGTTTAACAATTCCATAAATGAAGATATCAAAATGTCTGTATTTGAAAATTCAAAGGAAAAAGAACTTCTTAGGAAGCAATTGACGGTTGTCGTTGGTATGTGTCATATTTGTTATTTGTAAATTGTTTTGTTATACATTAAGCCGTTAGTTTTCTGGTTTGAAATGATTCACATTTTTCATGTCAGGCCTTTTATAGCCGACTATAAGTTATGGGTTTACCTCATTGTTGAAGGCCGTACGGAGGTCTATAATTGCTTTCTTACATTTCATTTGAACTCTGTAGGATAGTTGTCCAATTGGCAATCATACCACATGGCCTCATTTTTATACTAAAACCAAATATATTTCCAAATCTTATCAATTAGAAAAAGTATTTGTTTTTGCTAAATTACATATTGCATTGCTTTTAAGGACACAATATTTATATACTATGGGTTATGTGGCTATGCTGGTTGAAGATACATGTAGTATCAAAAGTACACGAACAGTCATGCAATTACTCGTCTATAAAACTATTTCGAAAATTGTTACCTTGTCAGTATCCGTCGTCTGTACAGCCGAAGAGAAGGAATTGATGTTGATGACCAACAACCGATACAGAAGCTAGCTCGCATTGCTAGTTCATTACTTTAAATTGAAAATTGTCCTTTATATTTTTTTAAATGTATACCTTTTTAGCATCAGTCCGTACAGTTGTTGAAAATGTACTGATGTTGATGACCATTCCAAGCAGAGCAGATGTGTCACATGACTCATCAATTCCAGAGTAATGAACCATATGAGGCTGTAGGAACAACTTTGACAGATCCACATGGCTTGTTACTTTATAATCATATTTCTGGTAATCATTAACCCATTTGTGTCTGATCATTTTTTTCGCTACATTCATGTTGTTGTTGATTGATTTGTAAATAAGAAAATGTTCGTTTGTTGCTGGGTATTTTTTCATATATCCATTATACCCCTGTGTATCGACAGAGTCGCTTGATACCAGTGAGTCATACAATTTACTAATTATAGGATTAACAAAGTTTCTTAGAAGTGGAGAAATAACGGAGTGAAGACAGATCCCTACAATCAGCCATCTTTTCTTTTCGTCATTCAAATATCCAGGTGGACCTAGAATTTAATCAACATAAGAGAGGTGGAGCTCACACAATCGACAAAATGTAAGTGAATACAATTATATACTATATCATCTATCCTTCCGATTCCGTTAACAAAAATCGTCCTTTTTCTGGTTATAATTTCTCTGTTTTTGCAGAAAACAATTATTTGTTTAGAAAGGAAAAAAACTATTGAGGAGTAGACTAATCGTATGTCTTTTCAAAGGAAAGCAAACTAGTGCGAACAAACAAATTGATTCCATTGTTACCAATCCTACACTAACAGATTTATACTTTCTTACAAAATAATTTTTTTTTAATTCCTTTATTTTTGAAAAAAAAGTGTTTCATTATAAACATATTTTCTTTAAAATCAATCGCCTTGATGGTTTCCAGGTAGCGCGCAAGCTTTGAGTGAGCATGGTGGGTTGTTGGTTACTTGAAAATATGTGTTTGCACTCTCTGCTTAGCTCATGGAATTGGGTTTAACATGAGCAACACGACGGGATGTGGATCAGATTCTGCTTGCCCTTCTAGAGCACCTGAGGTCACCATTGGTTTTCAAGCTGGATTTGTGTTACTCTGTCTTTAGTTTTTTCTATGTTGTGTTTTGTGTACTGTTGTATGTCGTGTCGTCTTTACCCTTTTTTTTTTTTGCCATGGCGTTGTCAGTTTGATTTCGACCGATAAGATTGAATATCTCTTTTGAATCTTTTGCCTCTCCTTTGACATATATTGTCCTAATATGCATGTATTATTAATCACTCGACGATAAACACAAATCCATTATCATCATCCTTTAAAATTTATATGTTAAAATGTGATCCTTCCCTTGCTAAAGTTTAGAAATAACAGAATGACACAAAATATTAAATCCGCCCGTGTATGATAAAAGCACAAGATGTATACAGCACTCAGTTGACATAAAAGAATGAGTCAACAATGACAATCAAAATATGAAACGCACTTTTTAGCACATATCAAAATCCCTGTGTGTTTTTTTTTTTAGCTCTCAGTAAAAACGTTTGAAAGTCAGGGGAACTTCTTGTACAAGAATCATATTATTTATAAAAACAAGTGCATAATTTCGGAGGTACAGTTATCTCCCTTAGATAGACTTTTCTTCACTTAAATAACTCAGAATTTTTTTTTTCTCTTCAACAACTTTACCTAATAGCATTGTTCTAATAGAGTGTTTAAATATCTGCCATTACAATTCATAAAAATACCATTCCATGCACAATGAAAACATATTTGTTATGTTTTTTTTTCTTCAAAATATTGCCTATTTACAAGCCTCCAGAAGAATTTTTTAAGGTTTTGCACAATTACGTATCATCTGTGTTTCGATTGTTATAATTTTCTTAAAATCAACGTTTAAATAACTTGTTTAAAAGTGATGCGAAAACAATGAAAAAATTATTCTAGGGTTGTTTTGCCTTCCAAAAACATTCATATTATAGGATTGGTAAAACAAATGCTAGTAACAATATTTAGTAACTTGTATGGAGAGATTATAAAAATATTGATCACACAATCTAAATGGAACGGATTTACTTAAACTTGTAGGTTATTATAACATATATCTTCAAATATGTTAACAACAATTGTATAACTGTATCCTTGACTGATTTAAAGTCAGGCTTATCCAAAAGTGTTTTGTATTCAGCTATATGTTAAACATGTTAAAGCTATACACACTTTTGCTACCATACATTTTGGACTAAGTAAACCAACTCAATAGTCTCGGAGTTGCCTCTTTGCCTAGTGTCTTGGGATCGTGGTTAAGATGCCCAGCTAGATCAAACCCAACAATTAAAATTGTTATTTTCTGTTTTTCTCTTATACATGCGGCACTGTGGAATAAACAGCTAAGACTGATTAGAATGTGTTAAACAATTGTACAAGTCTTTCTATACATTTTCTTGTTTACTGGCACTTTAAAACTCCTGCTCTTTGTGTCGTTCTGTTACAAAACATACTCATATAAGATAAACTCTTTCTCATGCAGAAATGCATGCAATATTTGCAATGCAAATTAATTATCATAATGTAAATAGGTTTGCATGTTTTACAATAAGAGTACACGTGTTATTCACAACCTATTGAGTACCTGTAATCCTTGGAACTTTATTCTGATCGTCTTGTCCCTGTAAACCAGGTGTAATTATCCGTGTTAATGGACTTCCTGCAGCTTGTGCGTTCATTCTGTAATGTTTAATATATCATATTCTTCTTTTCGTTTAAACATTTATCTTTGGAAGAGATATTCCTGTCCTTCACAATTTTAAACAAGAACTGCAAATATAATTAATACAAAAGCTATAATTCCAATCCCAAAAACTATCATATTACACATATTTGTTATACATAGTGTCGCTGGGCTTCCAAGTCCAAAAACTGCTTTTTCCTTTTTCACAAAAACCTTTTTGACGGGAGGAAATCTCTGATATTCCAAAATATCATACATTAAGACCAACTAATAGTTATCAAAGGTACAAGGCTTATAATTTGATACGCCAGACGCGCGTTTCGTCTACATAAGACTCATCAGTGACAGACATATTTTAGGCCCCGAATGCATTTAATATGTACAAATGTAACTATTTAGCGTATTTGAATGATAGAGATCTTTTCAATTAATACAAAAAAAAGCTATGATCGATATACTTTTATGGATTCATTTTGGATATACTTTGCCTTTTTTCGGAGTATGACCAACATGACACCTCTATAGCCTCGCTTGCCCTTATTAGACCGTGGGAATGATTTTATAATATAATAATCTGTTAATATAAAAATAAGAAGATGTGGTATGATTGCCAATGAGACAACTCTCCACAAGAGACCAAATGACACAGAAATTAACAACTATAGGTCACCGTACGGCCTTCAACAATGAGCAAAACCAATACCGCGTAGTCAGCTATAATAGGCCCCGAAATGACAAATGTTAAACTATTCAAACGAGAAAAACTGATTTATGTACAAAATAAACGAAAAATAAATATGATATACAGCAACAAACGACAACCACTGAATTACAGGCTCCTGACTTGGGACAGGCACATAGAGAATGCCTACTCAGGAAAAGCTTAATTTCCCTTATAGTATTCTCATGTAAAATGTTGCTGGTTCGACCCAACGAAATGAGAATCTTTAGAAAAAGACATCCTATCATATTTATTCACAGTTTTAAAACATTTCGAATTGTAGTTTTGAGGTCTGAAATAGTCTAACACGTTTAACAAGCCTTTCAACCAGTCCGAAAAGTCTAAGGCATGTTGTTTCTTAAATAAGTCATAGGAAAAAAAGTTTAAACTGAAATTGTAATTCCTCTTGAAAGGGTTTTATGTCAAATGTCACTCGTTTTTCGCCTGTTTGACATCCTAAATACATATTTCAGCATATTTCTATTTGAGATTTCTGTTCATGCTTCAAGTGCACAAATACATGCTTAGATACCAATTCTTTGTGAAATCAATACACTAAATACTTCCTAGTCGACCATAGAAAAATTGCGACAACTACGTGGCTGGTGGGATTGAATGCCCACAGCGCTTCGGGGGCAGTTGATAGCAACTGTCATGCCATTTAGACCACACACGGAGCCTCGGGTACAATTTTATTCCAGATACCGGCATTGCATACATATTAAACATAATAAAATTGAGAATGGAAATGGGGAATGTGTCAAAGCGACAACAACCCGACCAAAGAGCATAAAACAGCCCAAAGCCACCAATGGGTCTTCAACACAGCGAAAAAATCCCGCACCCGGAGGTAGGGTTTCAGCTGGCCCTTAAACAAAAATGTGTACTAGTTCAGTGAAAATGGACGTCATACTAAACTCCGAAACATATAAATCAACTAAAATTAAACAACATACAAGACTAACAAAAACCAGAGGCTCCTGACATACGCATGTTTTTCTGTGGACAATATATACATATATAAGAATCATGTACATTTTTTTTGGTAAAATTCAAACGCAGTAGTTTCATAGAAAAACAGGATGATGCTCAACAGTTTAATTACTACCTTCAATAAACCAGTTATGGAATTAGATTTCCCCTTGGAATTTGTCATTTTAGGCAATAAATTATATCGCATGTCGTTCTCCGCTCGGTACCCTCTATATGCGTCGTAAACTTAGAGCTACATGTAGACCAAGAGCAGAAAGAATATAATGTAAAAAGTGAACTTGCGATTATCGTTCGGGATTTCTGGTATATGTTGAACACGCTATTAGCCGCTTCAAAACTTTCAAAGTCAAAATCAACCAGACCAGACTGTGAAGCTTTATACGGGTTTAGTAGAGATCGATTGATTGTTGTTTGTTGTTTGTTGTTCGTCCAGTGACAAATATTTCATGCATTTTTCAGGACGAGATTAAGTAGTTGAGTGTCAGATTGGTAATTATGCCCGAAGAACAGTAATTAATTTTTAAAAAATCAAACTGGCTTATTATGTGATTTTTTATTTCAAATCTAGAAATGCATACTTGAATAACGATCAACCCCCTCCCCCGCACACAATTACACATTTCCCGTCCTATAAACATAACCAATGATATCAGAAAATAATCATTCTAAATTAATATAATTTTAAATGAACGAAAGAAGTGTGTAAATACCTGGTTAACATCACGCAAATTGAATTTTACCTGTTGTAATCGGTAACCAATGTTTTGACACAGTCCCCACATTTAAAGTCTAATTTGTCAATCTCAGTGTCAAGTATATACTTTTTCGTAACACGTCTATTGATTTTATATAAATAGTTCAATAGATATACTTGTTTTACTTTTTGTCAATATGCAACTTAATGTTAACATTATAAGACCCTGAACATTAAATAATAGATGTAGCGTGTGAAACACTTATTCTCCGCAAAAACGTTCATCCTGATCTTTGACCAATCTACATTCTATTAATGACAATTGATTTTGTAATTTCTGAAAGTTATCTTTTAAATTAACATGTTTGGTGAAGGGAAGTCTTCAGGTGAACGCACACTGAAGCAAAAATCGCGTATAACGAGCACCGTGGGGGACACATTTTCACCGTAATTATTTATTTTAAAATATGCATTCCATTTAATATTGTATAATATGTAAATGCTTGCAATTTTCACGAAAAAGAACACATATGAAACAGAAATGAACTTACATCAAATAGCCTACTCGCTGTGCATCAGTATTTTTTCCGTATATTTGTTTCCTGTCCGAATAGAATCGCATGCAAATCTCTTCAAATGAACAAATGAATATCCCTGGAGGGGAAAAGATTAAATTGCCCATGAAAAGATTTTACGGTTTATTTTAGTCACAACGCACATGAGCGTAGACAAACGGAAGGCGCGAAAAAGAAAGAATTTACAATTGAAGTTTGATTAAGGGTTATTTGGAAACACAAGAAGCTTCTCTTATTTATTGAGCAGATGGATACCAAGCATTTGGGTCATTTTCAAGTAAAATTTGATGACAGCTGTCCATTTGATTAAGGTGAGCGGTTCATGGTATTTTTCAAGAGGTATTTTGAAAGAGATATACACATGTTGTGTAAATTTTCTCTTCTTCCCTTTTGTTCTCTCAACGAGAGGCGAAGTATACCAAAGGCACATTCAAACTCGAAATAAAACTGATAACGCCATGACTAAAACGAAAAAGACAAACAGACAAACAACAGTATACAAAACAACATGGAAAACCAAAGACTGAGCAATACGAACCGCACCAAAAACAAGGGGTGATCTCAGGTGCTCCGGAAGGATAAACACATCCTGCTCAACATGTGGCACCCTCAGTGTTGTTCATATAGTACAAATATGTCTAATTCGGTAGGTCGCATTTGGGGAAAGTGGAAGAGATTGTAATTACGACAATGGAACATATCCGTCGTCAACTGTGAAACAGACTTTCCATAACGGTCAACTCGTAATGGCGTCCATACAATTTACGAAGGAATGATTTCAACTTCGCTACTTGGAACTCATGGTTAAATAGTTCCCTTGTGAGCAGCTACCCTTTATCAAAGAAACATCGTATCAACTGGAAGATACTCTGTATGCAGGCGCTGCTGGGATGTTGCTAAATAGAAATGGAAAGTTCACAATTGGGATGCTGAACTCATCTCTTTTGTCCTAAAGTTTTATTTTAATCGACCCTCATTTTCGATTTCTAGATGTTAGTTAAGATATGAAGCAGATTTAACTGTATCTGTTGTATCCTTTATCTCAAGTTCGATGGGGTAGATGCGTTCAACAAAGGTCACCACATTTTGAATCATTTAGTAAGAGATCATCTATATAGAAAAAAGTGATATAGGGATACTTTAACTTTTTCCCTTCTTTATAAGAAGTCAGCCTTATTTGAATAAAGGAATAAATCGGCAAAAAGGGGAGCACAGTTTGTTCCCATGGAAATGATTGTTTTTTTTTGGAAAAACACGTCCTCCACACTTAACAATTATGTTGTCAATCAAGAAAATTAAGCATCTCGATAACAATTGGAAACAAAACATGACCAAATCTTCGAATTTGTCTTTTAGTTGGGAATGGGCAATAATTGTGTAAAGTGTAGACAAGTCAAATGTATTAATACTATTGCTAATACTAATAAAGTTATTGTTTTGTATAAGATAACATTGATTGATGGCTGTCTGTTTTCCGTCTAGTGCAAAACAATTCATGAATATTAGGGACAAAACCAAATTAACAAATAATCAAAACAGTTGGTTCTGCAAAGTGGTTAGACTGACACGGAAAGTTACAAATGTAGACTGCCACATGTTGGATAGGGCAGATGTGTTCGCTGCAGCAGACCTACAATGTATGGCTGATCAAATTATAATACTTTAGAAAAAGTTTTAGATTAAAATGGACTTAGTCTATATGAAGTGTGCCAAGCCCTCTCTGGTTTTGGGTGACTGAATGTTTTGTTATATATTTTCACAACCAAGAACAAGGTCAAATGCATCGAAATCAAAGTTTTTTTTAACTCCGTTTATGTACAAATGACGAAATATCAGCATAGATCACAGATTACTGATTTATAACTCCAGTCGGGCGTTTTGTCTACGCGGGACTTAAAAGTAAAGCACTTTTTCAAACTTAACTAGAAAATATAATCAATGACAACGATGACATGCATACACACATGATATGACATTTAACAGAAATTAAAATTATTTTGTAACTACAACATTTTTCTAGCAAAATGGAAAATTGTGTTTAATATTCTCAATCATTTTAGCAAATAAATGCAAGATAAAGTTTTAAAATATTATGTTTAAAGAGTCCTTGAACATGGTTTCTATGTAATTAATAGACAAAACATATAACATTTTGACCGTGACATATTCAACGATCAGATCATTTGAGCGAGTAGTAGACCTAAACCATTCATTTAAATTGACCTGCTAATGATTAAAAAGAAATATGATCAGTGTTTGCCAAACACATTATTGTTTGTCAAGTTTAAATGTAATAAAGGCCTACATTTTTTTCAACTTGTTTCGTTTGTATAGAAAAACATTAAACATTCATGTATAATGTATGCTCTTAGCAGATTTCAAATAAAGGATTAACTTAGTGACAAGTTGACAGTTTAAATTTGCACTTCTTCTGTATTGACTAAGTAATACTAACTTTGCCTTTATATTTGTTGGTGGATACTTGTTCAAATATGGTTGAAAAAAATGTTGAAACATCTTAAGATTTATATTGCTCATGCAATTTCAATATTATATATTGTAGACGATCAAAAACAAGCACAGGAAATAATGACACACATTAGAAATTTGTGTGGCAACTGCTTTTTTAGCAATTTAATGCATTATTATAGAATGCAAATATTTATAGGTAGCAATGATGCAATAATGATGAATTATATGAAATTTTAGTGTTTCCATGAGAAGGTTTTATCTCAATAAAAGAAAATTCGAGGTTATTTAAAGTATCTAGTGCATACATATAAAATGCAAGAGAACGCTTTGCAAGGTAATTCAAAAACAACAAAAGAGGTAGATAAATGTTCCTACTTGCAAGGCCAACATGACAAGCGCCAAGTGTGATCAAGAATCTGCTTACTTTTCCAATGCGTATGAGGTCAATCCCAATTTTGGTTCGGTTCGTGTTGATCATTTCTGAGATTTATATGTTGTGTTTAAGTACACTGTTCTTTGTGTGTAGTCGTTTTCGTTTTTATATCAAGTCATTTTCAGTTCTTTTCGGTTTATGACTTTGACTATCCCTTCGATGCCTTACGCTTCTTTTAAAATATATTTTGATTATTAGATATGTAAAGGATAACATACACGACAAAAAGTAAAATAACAAAAATACTCCGAGGAAAATTCAAAACGGAAAGTCCCTAATCAAATGGCAAAATCAAAAGCTCAAACACATCAAACGAATGCCTAACAACTGTCATATTCCTTACATGGTACGGGCATTTTCTTGTGTAGAAAATGGTGGATTAAACCTGGTTTTATAGCTAGCTAAACCTGTCACTTATATGACAGTTGCATACAATTCCGTTATATTGACAACGATATGTGAACAAAACAAACAGACATAATATGTAAAATATCAAAAATTGGGGTCCTGCAGTCAGCATTGTGTTATAATCTTAATCACTATAAAAACAAACAAATAGGTCAACAAAGAAAAACAAAAAGGCATATAGCATGTTAAGACAAAGCACATTAGCAAAAACGAAAGACAAGAATACCAAAATTTACCATAGCACAATAACACAATGACGGGACGTATAAGTACCGAGCCACGTCAAATGGATATTACCAAAAAAATAGACCAAACAGTAAAAGTATTAATATACATAGACAAATAAAAGAATAATATAACACGTTATTAAGATGATAAACAACGTCAGTACCTATAATTTATACTTCAAGACCGTCGTGCATTATTAGTGAAGTTGATACGGAATATTTATCAACAAGGTCTTGGTATCTTTCGATGAACTTTTCTTAGAAAAAGGATGAGAGGTTCTTTGACATACCCTTTGTTCATCAACTTTCTGCTCAGACACTGGTGACATTTTACAAAGTCTGAGTAGCAGCTGCAAGCTCTTGAATACAGATTCAGTTGGGAAATGTTTATCCAATATGCAAGTGCAGTTGGTATATTGCTACTATGGTGGGGGAAATTGATAATTACAAAATTACAATCGTTTCTTTTGTCATAGATTCTGGTACTGAGATGACCGCTGATGTCAAATTCGAGGTATAAGTCTAAAAATGTGACAGAGGAAGCCGTGTCTGTTGTTTTTTTTAATTTCTAGTTCTAGAGGATATATTAATGGAAACCAATAAAAAGAATTCTTGCTTTTCGACAACTGTCTGAGGGAATTCCGACTCATATGAACATAAAAAGAGGTCGGCAAGGAGAGGCGGACAGTTTATTCCCATAGGATTGCAAAGGTCATTAGCTAGCTTGTAATGAATGATAAATCATAGTGTTCGAAAAAAAAATCAAGTTTATTGAGTTTGCTAATCTTCAAATTATCCATACATGATAGTGTTTAATATATTATTAGAGTATATACACAAGAGATTCAAAATATGCACGTTGAATGTAGAAATTAAGGTTGTTTTATGCTAGAATAACTTACCGATGTCCATAAAATTTCTCCTCTCCAGAATTGAATTTCTCAAGATATTGTTAAAAAAACTAATCTTCCTGATGACACTTTTAAATGTAAAACGTCTACAAAGGTCTTATCTTATCACAAGCATTGACACACTTCAGTAAATCTTAATAGCTCAATATTTAAATAATTTGGTACAATGTAAATGATATGTGATATATTTATATCAATGCTTTTACTTAGTTTAATATAGATTATACTCGAGAATACGATATGTCTTCACTCCAGCTGGTTTAGATCTAAAATTAGTTCACTGTAGAGAGTGGAGAGATATAGTTTTCACGATTTCGTAACATCAGATCAGAGGAAATGAAGTAAAATTTGACATAACAATTGACTTGTGGCCAATGCAAATCAAGAATCAAATACACATCATAATCAACTGTCTGGGGTAAAAATAAATCAGACAGAGTGAACTTACGGAAAAAGACGATAAAATACGAAGTGAGTACGGAGTCAAATAAAGGCAACAGTACTATACCGCTGCGGGTTACAAACAAAAACCGAGGGAAACACATCTACTATAAGAGGAAAACAACGAAACAACAGAAACACTGCAGTGCAACAATATCAAACGCCAACATACATAGAAACGGACTATTTGATAACAACTGCCATATTCCTGACTTGGTACAGGACATTTTAAGAAAAAAATGGTGGGTTGAACCTAATTTTATGGCTAGCAAAACCTCCCGCTTATAAAGCAATATTAAAAAAATATCGCTAAAATGACAACAGGACGTGACAGGAATATAGTACAAACAAACGCACGAACACTCAACATAGATAAACGCATAAATAAATAATATAATAGTACATTTCAACATGTAAACCGCAGAATAACAACGGACATCTTCCTTTTACAACAGCACACCACACCGCAAACAGTGATGTATTTTTGTGACGTATATATAATCTTGAAATTCATACAATTATATGAAACGAGATCCAAAATTTACAATTATTTTCACAATACTAGTCCAAATAATTATCATGAATATGACGGTCTTGAAAGGCTAACTTTTCACTTGATAAATGTTGGTTTAAAAGTCATGTATTTTCCCAGACACTTTTTAAGTACTTTTCAAACAACTGCGTTTTATAACAGTTAGCGTTTTGAAGAAACAGTTAGCATGTAATGGTGAGCCTCACCTGCAGCCTTACAAATGATTTTGATATTAGTCATAGATAGATATAAGAAGATGTGGTATGAGTGCCAATGAGACAACTCTCCGTCCAAGTCACAATGTGTAAAAGTAAACCATTATAGCTCAAAGTACGGCCTTCAACACGGAGCCTTGGCTCAAGCTTAACAGCAAGCTATACAGGGCCCCAAAAATGACCAGTGTACTAAGTAAAGACACTGATCGTATATCATTGTGCACAGGAAATCCCCAAAGCCGTCAATGTATAACTTTATCATTAAAATTAAGAATATAGTATAAAGAAATGCATCGAAAAGGAAATTATTTGAAAAAAACACATGTTGATGTGAGATGTTTTCTCTGCCATATAAAGAAGTATCACTACCATTGATGTTCCGATATTTGTCTATGTTAAATTCGCACTTTTCAAAAAATTGGAAGAATTTATATTTGTTTTAAATAAGGATATACTTGGCATTAGTAAAGTATTATCCTGTCCAGTACTACAGACAAAATATCACATACATTTTATTGCATATAAGATAAAAACCACTCAATGGAAGTTAACCAATCAAATTGTCACCCCCTTTTTCCAGTTTAAAAGCTTTAGTAACCATGTAACCTCAAGTTTCCAAAATATTTTATTGACACACCAAATTAAAAATAATGATTACATGTATTTGAGACACCCCAGATATATGTTTATGACTCAGACTTTTCTCCTGAAATGAAATGCTGGGTTAAATTCCTACCACTCTCAAATTCAGTTGAATATTATTGTTCGACCCTCTGTCGTATGAAGCCGGATGTGAAGTTCTATTATTTGGCAGTATAACACCCAAAGGACACCTCTATATTTACAACTGTCATACTTTAAGAATTCAAGACCATGAAAAGTGTAGAATGAATATCCTTAATTTTCATGTGATCGAAAGGAAATGCATAGTTTTTGGGTAACAATACATATATTTGCTTGGTACTTTATGTGTTATGCAGAAAGAATGATAATTACGATGTGTGTACATTTACGTTCATGTGTCCTTCGTTATGTTAGCTCCTATAAATTTCTAAAAATAACATTGGTTAAAAGCGAACACGTGGGAACCGTGGATATTGAATATATGGTCAGTGGACGTGTTATAGTTTAGCTACACAATCAGTGGGCGATGTCCATTTCAAATAATTGGTAAGTAGCAGAGCTAGTAAGTTTTCTCTTATAAAAAACTCAAATTAACATACATTGTAAATCTATTTAATTATGACGGGTTCATGCTTTTAGACATAAACATGTCTGAGAGACGCTGACTTTCTCGTTGTATATTACTCATGTTAATTCTGTTTGATGTTTTGTGAAAATTGTGATATCAAACTACGTCTAAACTTTCCATATTAAAGAAGTCGGTAAGATAAATTCGTCACATAGAGTTTTAGTGACCTTATCTGATATAAACAAGGTCAGTAAATAAACGCAACAGTAGTATATCGCTGTTCAAGTCATAAATCGATTTAGCGAAAACAAATCCGAGTCACAAACCAAAACCGAGGGAAACACATCAACTATAAGAGGAAAACAACGGAACAACAAAAAAACTGAACTGAAACTACACATTGGGGCTCGCTCTCACCCAATATGGAATTTACTGACCCCGTAAAGATCATATTAGGGGTAAATTCAGTAAATAAACACACGGCATTACGGACCAGCTATTTGGGAGGGATGAATGGGCGGGGGTGGGGCTTTCTGTATAAAACAGATGACCTGTGCTCCACTGGTTGGTAAATAGTTTTTGATAGCTGAATCATTGAATATTGAATGCACTTATTATTTTTACTACATGGTTGAAAAGTAATGATGTCAGTGTAGGTATTTTGTGCGAATCTACAGTGTTTGTAAAAATGTCATGTGAATGGTCCAAAAATGCTGCATGTTGTTTTAGTTGTAAAAGATCGGGCTATATTAGTACTTTGATGAATGATATATGAAAGCTTCTGATTTCGTTAGGTAAAACAGGTATACATGTTATTCAAGAAGTAGTTTGCATTGAAATCAATCTGAGATTTAAACGGAATTTACCCCTATAGGGAAAATTTGCCCTCTGTGACTGTACTTGTTCATGGTCACACAATAAAACCAAAGCTCATTTTCTGTAAATATAAACATGATAAATGCAAAAGAAGCTTTTTGGAAACAATTAGTGTTGTTTCTCCTGCAAAATCTATGTTTAACTGTGATTGACAAGGAATCACTAAGTCTACTGTTGGAGTAAGAAGACGGTATATGGGGAAAAAAATTCTGTATCCAGAATGAAAGAAACAGTAAAAATTACCCTTGAGAGTTATAGTTTAATGTAAGACATACATATTCTCCGTATTTTACATCACATTTTGCACATTTTTCTATTTCCCTTTATAAATGGGTACCAGATTTTGATGAACAGTTAAGAATTGATGTAAACAGTTTTTTCTGATGTTTTTTGTTACACCACTTTTAGTGGAGGGTTGAATAATGAATATGATGAAAACATAATAACCCCGTAATGTTCTTTGTGCCTGTCCAAAATTAGAAAACTGCAATTCAGTGGACGTCGTTGGTTGCAGATTGTTATATTTGTTTTTCGTTTATTGTTTAGTCATAAATCAGACCATTTCTCGTTTGAATATGTTTTCATTATTTTTATGTCAGAGACTGCGATAGCTGACTATACTTTATGGATTTTACTCTTTGTTGAAGGCCATACGGTGATTCATTGATGCTTTCTGGTGGATAGTTGCCCCATCGACAATCATACTACATCTATCTCCCTGTGTTAATAGTAAAGAGAAACATTTAAACCGGTCTTGAGAGTCTGCTACTTACGAACGCTTCCCTTTGTCCTGGTTTCACTACCACCGGTGGAGCTTCAATAATACACCATTGATGTATGATTCGGGGTAAATCAAAGGGTATTTGGTCCAGTTTTCTACTTACACCGTACAGGCAACACTATAACCGGAACCACCTAAAAGGCCATTAAGTACACTTGCACCGGCATTTACAGCATTGGCAGCCGTTCCAGCCGCTGCTATAGCAGCTGCCCAGTCTATTAAACCAGTCACTCTGGCAAATAGCCCTGAAAGTTAGAAACATCTAAAATTGTTCAAAGTAAAATATAACTGTTTTTCAAGGCATTTTGAAAATAGAACTTTGTGAACGGATTTAAATTTTATAAATCACTAGTACCTTTATGTCAACATATTCTTAACTTCAAAATAACACAGATTATATTCGATTTCACGTTAATTCATAACAACTCTGAAGATTCTTGCTATCACAAATGACTTACAATCGGCAAACCTCGGCATTTTCCGCTACCTTTCATCTTAAATCTGTCAAATGAAAAGCATTAGTGATTGTAAGAGTTGTCTTCCTTAACAAACGTAATTCAATTACAAATATTCATTTATATTACATGTCCCTCTGTAATTGTCCATAGGCTAATCAATCATATGTAAGAACTATTTTAAACTAGTAATCTTAGATCTGGATGCGCTCCCGATTTACCAAAATGAATGCGTGGAAATATGAATTTAAACAACTCCTCAAAGATAGCTGTACATTAGTGAAGATTTCGATAATATGAAGTATTTTCTTTTAAAATTAAGTCCATGTACACGTGTTTTATAATAAAAATTGACATTCAACTACATAAAACAGATTCAACTTTTTTTCATAGTTTGAAGTATCATAAATAAAAAGTAAAATAACAAAAATACCGAACTCCAAGGAAAAATTCAAAACGGAAAGTCCTTTATCAGATAGCAAAATCAATAGCTCAAATATACCAAACGAATTAAAAACAACTGTCATATTTCTGACTTGGTACAGTCATTTCCTTATGTAAATCCTGTTAAATAGCTAGTTAATTTTGTCACTATTAACAAAAGTCTATTCAACAGTAA